GCTATGGCATGCTGAAGATAGTCAAGGGCATAGTAAATGAGACGGTGTATAATTTTAGGATCTCTGGGTTGGTGAGGGAGGGCCTCGTGGTTTTATTTTCATTTCTTTGTACTTGTCGCTTTGATTTTTAGTAGATCTACTAAATGTGTTTGTTAGCTAAACATCAATTTTGTTCTTCATGAATTGGAACTGAACACTCAAATACATGTAATAACTTTCACTACCCCACTACAAAACCATTCAAAGGCAAAATAACTCATAGGACGATCACGTTCACCTCCCTCAGGTTCACGGCTACAGAGTCACTTAAAATAGTGGCAAGACAAACAATAGAATGAACCAATCACAGTTCACTTGAGCACTCCGCTGGATTGCTCCGGGGCCCACATAATACTGGCAAAGAAGAGCGTAGGGTCTATCGTGTTTATTTTTAGACTGTGTACTGTGGGCTATGTTTCGGCACTATTCGGCAGGAGCATATTTGAGATGTGCCAGCTTATCAATATTAATGTACCGCCAAACCTGCTACGAGTGTCGTCATCGTTTTGGTTATCCCCAAGAGCGATTTATAGGTCAGGTTTACTGCTTACTAGAATTGTCAGGCCTTCTCAGAGCGACCGTAGTTTGAAAATGTGGAGGCGATGCATAACTAGGTCAGAACGTGGGAGTCACATTAAACAGCCGATTGTCATTTCATTCCTATAAATAGCATTGTACTAAGTGACAAATTCCCTGGCAGAAAGAGAGAAATACCCTTCCTTTAATAGCAATTAGCATTCAATGTGCACTTTGCATTTTTCCATTAATGAAAACGTTCTTCATTTTAATTACAATTGTTCTTTTTTAATACTTTAAAAACATTTCTGAAATTTTATAGGTCAGGGGAGGTGAGAAGAATAGTGACGTAAGTAAACAAAGTTTTCAAAATGTCAGCCGCCGTGCCTTGTGATTGTGATGTGAAACGTGTGACATGAGGATAGGCCTAGTATTTCATTTGGATTATCGATTCCAGTGCTTTCTAATGAAATGCATTGTATAGACTTGTTGAAAATGGGCAGAAAATGTTGTGTTACTGGGTACAGGTCAAATTATGCCTCTACTGACAAGGTTACCGTTTTTAGACTACCAAAAGATAAAGATGGGAGAGAACGTTAGATGCAAGCGATCCCACGCGACAATATACCCGATACTGCATATACTGTTGTTTGCATTAAACATTTTCCTGAGGATTTGAAACTATTTCTGTCGAAGGAAGACTAAGACCAAAATATCATCCATCAGTATTTTCTAATTTGCCCAAAAGTTTAATTCCAACACCAGTGCCCTTAGCAAGAACAACATGTAGAGCTAGTTATTCAGTCAGATCAGTTGAAAGTGACCAGTTAGAAGAATATTCACAAAAAGACACTGTTTCTTTTGATTCATTGTGTTCATATGTAGGAGCTCACGGCTTTGACCTTCCATTTAAGATCAGTGCTTTCAGAGATGAAAACTTGTTGTGTCTTCAGTCAACGGATTATTTGCCTTCATCCAGTATTCCTCGCTTTTTGTTAAGCATCTCTCCTGATCAAAGTTTTGAAGGATTTCATGCAGGTGTCAAAACATCAATTAAATCATTGTGTAAAAACAAAATTGTAAAACTAAACAGGTAGTCACAACTAGAAGAAGCTTTACGCTATCTGAATTCTTTAGACTTAGATCATATGAAGTCAATTTTGCTTGAACAATGTGCAAGTTTAGGCACAACAAAAGTTGGGACACTGAAATATTCCAGTGACATGTTTGTAAGAGCTTTTGAATATCTTGCTACATCACGTACATTGTACAATCAAATTCGTAAAGATTTTGGACTTCCAAGTATAGCAACACTAAATCGTTTGTCATCGAAAGTAAACAATTCCAGTGATTATACGTTCATTTCAAACATTTTTACTGGTTTGGATGAAAGACAGAAAAGGTTCATTCTGTTGTTGGGTGAGGTTTATGTGAAACCTCTTCTGACTTATCATGGAGGTATGCTTTTTGGAAAAGCTGTCAACAGCCCAGAGCATCTTGCAACGATAGTGCTAGGTTTCATGTTAGTCTCTCCTTTTGGAGGACCTTCATTTCTTGCCAAGATGTTGCCAGTCTGGAGATTAGATGCACAATTTATGTTTGAACAGACACAGCTTCTGTTAACTCAAATCAAAAGTGCAGGTGGCTGTACAATATGCATAATATGTGATAATAGTAGAACTAACCAAGCCTTTTTCAAAATGTTTCCATTAACATCACCATGGAAAACAGATGACAATATGTTTCTACTTTATGATTTTGTTCATATCTTGAACAATATCGAACACAATTGGCTTACTGAGAAAACTGGAGAAATTACTTATACATGTAACAACAATGGTGATCAACTGACTGCTAAATGGCAGCAAATCCGACAGTTTCAAAAGTGTGAAGATGGAGAATTGATAAAACTATCTAAACTTACATTCCAAACTGCGAATCCAAAACCAATAGAGAGGCAAAGGGTTGAGACCTGCTTAAAAGTCTTTTTGTGATGAAACAAAAGAAACCTTGATAAACCACCCAGACATGCAGAAAGAAAACGTTGATGGCACTGTCAGATTTTTAGAAAACGAAATAACGTTTTTTTAAAATCATGAATGTGAAATCTCTGAATGAAGATGTACGACAGAGAGATCCTCTCCGTGCAGCAATCGTGTCCCCTGATGATATCCAACTACATATTTTGACAGAATTTGCTAATTTTGATGCAAGTAGTATAAAGGGCTCACATGGAAAAAGGGAAAAAATGCTGACACAGCCACTGCTATACAGCATAGATTTACATGCTTGGGTGTTGTTGAAATGGCAAAATATCTTTTGCCAACAAATCGTAGATTCTACTGCTAGGAAAATTCACAACTGATCCGCCGCAAAAATCGTTTGGAAAACTTCGACAAGGTAATGGTGGAACATATTTCACAAATACACAGCAAATTTGGGGAAAAGTGAACTTAATGAAAGCAAAAGTTTTGTTAAGACTAAATTTAGATGTATCTGGTTTACATTCTGAATCGGGTCATTCTTGTGAAAAATGTGTGCTTCAATGGACTCAAAAAATCTGTCAACTGATTGAACCAATTCCAGAAATGGACAATTCGGTCAAAACAAGTCAAGTGCAGTCTAGTCTACATTGCTGGCCATGTCATAAAAAAGACAAAAACCTAAAGGAGGATAGTTTTTGTTACTTTGAAAAGTATGGGGAGTATACATCTTCTTTGAGTAGAGGAGGTATAGTTCAAGCTGGGGACTCAGCATGTGGACCATCTTTTTCTACATAGCCTTTCAGTCAGTGTCTGACAAGGTATCAGAAACTCTTTGAGGGAAATATTTATGGACATCTCACAGTATTATGGTTTTGAGATGAGACAACACAACTGCTTTGTCATGAGCAATATTTTGCTAAACAATTTCTGCAACTGCAAGATATCCAATCCACCATCTGAGAGAGAACCTAAACAGAAAGTCCTAAAGCTGTCTTCATAAACAATGTTAGTTAAACCTTTTGTCATACTATTAACAATGTTATGTTTGTGGACGCATGTGTCTGTCTAAGTCTCTATGTGTGTATGCATGCTTAGTATTACCAGAGAGTATTTAATAATAGAGAGCGGAAACGAAGCCTCTTTTCGCGTATCCAGGTCACCAGCTGATTGTGAAACGAGGCGCGGTAAACAAAGCTAATGGCGGCTGTCGGCAGTCGCAAGTCACCCGCAAGTGTAACTGGTGTTTTGCGGCAGTCTGCGTCCGTGCCAATTCAAGATCACACAATTACCAGACCTAGCATTCTTTAGCTTTCCAAAGGACCCTGAAATGTAAGAATTTGCACATGTACTTTTTCATTAACCTTATTTAATATCGTTTTTCTCATGTGTAGATCTAGATCTAGATCTAGATCTAGGCTTATCTAGATCTAGATCTAGATCTAGGCCTAACTAGATATCTAGATCTATCTAGATCTAGATCTAGATCTAGAATACCTGGACTCTAGACCTAGATCTGGAAACCTAGAGATATAGATCTAGATATAGATATAGATCTAGATCTAGATCTAGATTAGATAATAGATCTAGATCTAGTATCAGTGTCCGGGTCCTGATTAGAACTAGATCTAGAAT